ACATTTTTGCACTACACACATTCAATTCATTGGGCTGCCCCAAGTGACAACAAACCTACGAAAAGCTCCTCTACCGGCGTTTTACTTGGGAAGGAATCTCCTAAATCTATCATTGTTAGGCCCCGTTCGCACCTAGCGTCTTCTGTGTGCACATTTTTGCATGCTTTTTTTTAGCTTTTTTTTAAAATTTTTGCGCATTGGGCTGCCCTAAGTGCAACAAACATATGAGAAACTCCTCTACCGGTGCTTTAAATGGGAAAGAAACTCCTAAATCTGTCATTGTTAGGCTCTATTCGCACCTAGCGTCTCCTGTGTGCACATTTTTGCATGCTTTTTTTTTTTTTTTTGGTGCAATTTTGCGCTGCATGCACTCAATTCATTGGGCAACAAAATTCAATTCAATTCATAAGTGCAACAAACTTTTGAGAAGCTCCTCTAATGGCATTTCAAATGGGAAGGAAAAACTCCTAAATCTGTCATTGTTCGGCCCCATTCACACCTAGCGTCTCCTGCGCATTTTTGCATGCCTTTTTTTGGTGCATTTTTGCGCCACGCGCATTCAATTCATTCAATTTATTGGGCGACAAAATTCAATTCATAAGTGCAACAAACATATGAGAAGCTCCTCTACCGGCGTTTTAAATGGGAAGGAAACTCCTAAATCTGTCATTGTTCGGCCCCATTCGCACCTAGCGTCTCCTGCGCATTTTTGCGTGCTTTGTTTACATACAATGTATCTCTCTCATACAATATATCTCTCTCGTACAATGTATCTCTCATACATACAATATATCTCTCTCATACAATATATCTATATCTCTCATACAATATATCTCTATATCTCATACAATATATCTCTCTCATACAATATATCTCTCATACAATATATTCTCTCATACAATATTTCTCTCATACAATATATCTCTCATACATACAATATATATCTCTCATACAATATATCTCTCTCATACAATATATCTCTCATACAATATATCTCTCTCATACAATATATTCCCATACAATATTTCTCTCATACAATATAATTCTCATCTCTCTCATACAATATATCTCTCATCAATCTCATACAATATATCTCTCATACAATATATCTCTCTCATACAATATATTTCTCTCATACAATATATCTCTCATACAATATATCTCTCTCATACATATATATCTCTCATACAATATATCTCTCATCATATACAATATATATTCTCATACAATATATCTCTCATACAATATATCTTCTCATACAATATATCTCTCATACAATATATCTCTCTCATACAATATATCTCTCATACAATATATTATCTCATACAATATATCTCTCATACAATATATCTCTCATACAATCTCTCATATCTCTCTCTCTCTCACAATATATCTCTCTCGTACAATGTATCTCTCATACAATATATCTCTCTCATACAATATTATATCTCTCATACAATATATATCTCTCATACAATATATCTCATACAATCTCATACAATATATCTCTCATACAATATATATCTCATCTCATACAATATATCTCTCTCATATTATCTTCTCATACAATATATCTCTCAATACAATATATACAATATATCTCTCATACAATATATCTCTCTCATACAATATATTTCTCATACAATATATCTCTCATACAATATATCTCTCATACAATATATCTCTCATACAATATATCTCTCATACAATATATCTCTCATACAATGTATCTCTCATACAATAATGTTTCTCTCTCATACAATGTATCTCTCTCACAATGTATCTCTCATACAATGTATATCTCTCTCATACAATATCTCTTATCTCTCTCATACAATGTATCTCTCTCTCACAATGTATCTCTCATACAATGTATCTCTCTCACAATGTATCTCTCATACAATATCTCTCTATATCTCTCATACAATATATCTCTCTCATACAATGTATCTCTCTCTTCCCGGGGGGCGGGCTTCACAGTGACTGATCACTGTGATAGCCAGTCAGAGACAATCCCAGCGACCAGGTGATCCGGAATCCGGAGTTTCGGGTCCAGATCGTTAGTACGTGCCCCTGGGGCTTACAATGAGACCCCGGTCCCTGTGCTGGGAGCGTGCCGTGCGCATATTTGTGTGAGGTTGAAGTCAAGGGGTTAAAACATATGTAAACCCTTATAATGAACTTCCCCTATCTGCCCCCTTTCGGTCAGTTAAATATACCATTGCATCGTTCAGTAGGTGCAAAAAGTACCCCTTGATCCTGCCAGAAATCTCATGAGCTCATAACTGTGTTTTCTGCCTGTGCTGCCTTCTTATTAGTTACATTGTTTCCAGCTATCCCTGAGAAGTACAGTACTCCATTCCCCTATGTTATGGAGACAAGGAGGTGTTCTGTAGTCCTGAGTACCAATGCTGCTTATCTATAGATACAGTACAATGAGAGAGCGTTGTCACCCTTGGACAGGAAGTGTGTTACTGGCAGGATCACCAAGTGAAATGAAAGGGGGGGGGGAATGTAAAAAAGAAAACTAATGCAGCCACTACATCAAAGAACTGGAAATCTGCAGTATATAGCATTTTTGTTTTGGGGTTTAAATACACTTTAAAGTGATTCTAAAATTATTTTATTTTTTTTTTTTGTAAAATAACAAGCACCATACATTTTCCCCTGCTGCTCAGACCCCCGAGTGCCCCCACCCCCACAGTGCAGCTTCTCTGCTTCCCACTGGCAGCTGCAAACTCATAATAGGACTCTTCAAGATGGAAAGTGAAGGAAGGGTCTGGTAAATATGTCAAATTTACAAGGCCCTCCCTTTCCTGAAAGAACACAATAAGTGATTGGTACCAGCCACTCACTGTGTTCATTCATAACTGAAGCATAGTAGACTGTGTTTTGTTTCGGGGAGGGCTGTCAGGTAGGCTGTATGGGGCCCCTTGGTTTCTAACAGCAACCCTACCCACATCCCTAGCACCCTCTGCTACTTGGCCTTGGTAATTACTGTAAGAAATGTGTCTATAGAGAACTTTAAAAGCAAATGTAAAACATTTATTGGGTCTTGAAAAAACGACTCAACCAGAATATCAAGCAACACATAGAGGAGTACCTACAGTTTCCCACCAGAGAGGATGACATCCTTCTGACTATGGTAAGTGCCAAATGCTTGAAGCCAACAGACCTGAGGAAAATAGATGGGATGGTCATGGTTTTCCCCTTAACCCCCTGGCGGTATTCCTGAGTGTAGCTCGGGGTAAAGTTTCAGCACCACAAGCGGTAACCCCCCCCCCCCCCCCCCGAGCTACACTCGGGAATACACTGCAGCGTTGCTCCAGGATCTCTTCTACACTTACCTTGTCCTGCGCTCCCGCGATGTCCCCCCTGCAGTGTCCCCTGCAATGTCCTCCGGCCGATGCCGGCATCTGTCTTCCGGGTTCCGTTCCCTGCGACGTCGGGACGTACGGGGGGACAGAACTGGCGGGAAATTTAAAAATGTTAAAAAGTGACATTCACTAAATACACTAAAATCACATAGTATAACATTCCTGTATCAAACCATTTCACATATATTTTTGTCCCGAGTGCTTTGTCCGGCGCCCTGCCTGCATTTTTACTGTTCTTTCTGCCTGGAAACTGAGAAACGTCCATGGCGTCCAAAAAGTGTCCCTTTAGGTCAGACGCGGGTTTTAGACCGGCTAGAGAACAGCGATAGTAAATCAGAACCACTTGCAGAATTGAGTGATAATGATTGGTGGGGGAAATTCCTCATCAGACACTGAAAACGATTCTGCGACTTTGCTCAGCGATGTGCGAACTTGGCGCTATTTTCACATTTCAGTGTTTTTGATTTGATTATATTATTGAATTAAATTTATTATTATTTTTTTTTATGATTATTTATTAAATTATAATTTATGATTTCGTGTTTCAAATTTTATCATCCCCGGGATGTTTACTAGACTCTTGTTCAGACAGATTTCAGTGAGTTATTCCTAAAAATTACAGGCCTACAATTAAAAAAACAACATATTTCCATGCAAAAAAAGTACCGCTTTGAGCACAGAAATATGGACATAATCAGACCACTAAGGAGGTTAAGCAGATGTCTGGCATTGGTTGATCCTCTTAGCAGTTCCCTTTTTTACTATCATAAACTATACACTTATAAACATGCATGCCTCCTTGAACCTGGAGTTTATAGTTACGAGCCTCTCCAACATAGAACCAACCAGGAGTGATGGTCTTTTCATGTCTGTATGGTCAATTGTCCTCTAGCAAAGGGCAATGACCAGGGGCGGACTGACAACTCATGGGGCCCCCGGGCAATAGGGGATCATGGGGCCCTGTGTCCATGCCCAAACTCAAAAAAGCCTATGAAAAAGGTACCAGGGGCATCTCATGGGGCATCTCATGGGGCCCCCTACTGACCCCCCGGGCCCTCGAGCAGTGCCCGAGTTTCCAAATGGTCAGTCCACCCCTGGCAATGACTCAAAACTGTCTAGCTTTATATCTGCATAACGAACATTTATAACATTTGATTTCTACTTTGTTTTACAGGCAGACTACGACCGAGCACAGGTATCCATGAGCCCTCCGCTCACCGGATCTGATACATATCCTCGAGGTCCTACCAAGCTACCTCAATCCCAAACCAAGCCCACTTACCCCTCAAGTAGTTACCAGTATCCATCAGTTTACCATAAGCCATCTCCCTACCACCAACCCCAACTTCACGGGAGCCCACATTTCATGTCCACAGGTTCCTACCCCAGCTCTCCCAGTACACAACGTCGAGTGTTTACCCCCCTCCCAGCTGGGGCTCAGCCTCTGATCAACAGCCATCTAGAGTCTCTCATGAACAGTTTAGGGCAGCTCTGCAGCTGGTGGTCAGTCCTGGAGACCCTCGAGAGTATTTGGATGACTTTATCAAAATCGGGGAGGGCTCCACAGGCATTGTTTGTATTGCCACCGAGAAACACACGGGGAAGCAAGTCGCTGTGAAAAAAATGGATCTCAGGAAACAGCAGAGACGGGAACTACTCTTTAATGAGGTACGTGGTTTATTTTAACCTACGGTGAAGGAATCATTTCAAAGCTTCGGCTCATTGATACAATGGCGTTGACCTATGAGAAATTACAAAATGATGGCCAGGGTTCATAATAATATGGGAATGCAATAATAAATTGGGAATTGAAATAACGTGTTGATCAAATCTATCCTATGGCAGCACGTAAGAAATGTTTCTTTGTATTGCCAAGGTTGTGCTTTGACATCCTGCTTATGCAGGCCATAGATGGGTCGAAAATCGGCTGATTTTTCGGCCGAAAAAAAAAAAATCAGACGATTTTCGCACAGTTAATGGGTTCATTGGTCGACCATTTTTCTGGATTTTGGCACATCGGTGAGGTTGGAAAAAAATCGTCTGATTTTGCTGATCGGCCGATTTTCGCAGCAGTGATGGGCAATTTGGCCGATCTTTTCACCAATAAAAAAAAAATCTGCGCATGAGCCGTGACCTGCAAGAAGAAGAAGAAGAAGAATTCCAGTCCGCTATTATATTTGACATGAAAAAGTCTTGCGGTTGCAACAAATGTATCCGTTTGTATCCGAATAAAAACATCTGTATCCGAAATGGATACAAATGGATACATTGTTGCAACCGCTATACTTTTTAATGTCAAATATAATAGCGGAACTCTCTGCAGGGACAGAAGTAATTAAATGCTGGCCGTAGACGGGATGAAAATTGGTCAATTTTTTTTTACCATTGGTGGTAACGTCGGCCTATTGAACAACCGATTTTTAGGTTTTTTTTTTTTTTTTAAAAACAGCCGGTTTTCGACCCGTCTATGGCCCGCATTAGAGTCTAGTAGTAAATATTATTTATTATTATTTATTTCAGGTACTTACAGTGGGGCAAAAAAGTATTTAGTCAGCCACCAATTGTGCAAGTTCTCCCACTTACAAAGATGAGAGAGGCCTGTAATTGGCATCATAGGTAGACCTCAACTATGAGAGACAAAATGAGAAAACAAATCCAGACAATCACATTGGCTGATCTGGAAAGAATTTATTTGCAAATTATGGTGGAAAATAAGTATTTGGTCAATATCAAAAGTTCATCTCAATACTTTGTTATATATCCTTTGTTGGCAATGACAGAGGTCAGACGTTTCCTGGAAGTCTTCACAAGGTTGGCACACACTGTTGCTGGTATGTTGGCCCATCCTCCATGCAGATCTCCTCTAGAGCAGTGATGTTTTGGGGCTGTCGCTGGGCAACACGGACTTCCAACTCCCTGCAAAGGTTTTCTATGGGGTTGAGATCTGGAGACTGGCTAGGCCACTCCAGGACCTTGAAATGCTTCTTACGAAGCCACTCCTTCGTTGCCCCGGGCGGTATGTTTTGGGATCATTGTCATGTTGGAAGACCCAGCCATGTTTCATCTTCAATGCCCTTGCTGATGGAAGGAGGTTTGCACTCAAAATCTCACGATACATGGCCCCATTCATTCTGTCCTGTACATGGATCAGTCGTCCTGGTCCCTTTGCGGAGAAACAGCCCCAAAGCATGATGTTGCCACCCCCATGCTTCACAGTAGGTATGGGGTTCTTTGGATGCAACTCAGCATTCTCTCTCCTCCAAACACGACGAGTTGTGTTTCTACCAAACAGTTCTATTTTGGTTTCATCTGACCATATGACATTCTCCCAATCCTCTTCTGGATCATCCAAATGCTCTCTAGCAAACTTCAGACGGCCCCGGGACATGTACTGGCTTAAGCAGGGGGACACGTCTGGCACTGCAGGATCTGAGTCCCTGGAGGCGTAGTGTGTTACTGATGGTAGCCTTTGTTACGTTGGTCCCAGCTCTCTGCAGGTCATTCACTAGGTCCCCCCGTGTGGTCCCGGGATTTGTGCTCACCGTTCTTGTGATCATTTTGACCCCACGGGGTGAGATCTTGCGTGGAGCCCCAGATCGAGGGAGATTATCATGGTCTTGTATGTCTTCCATTTTCTAATCATTGCTCCCACAGTTGATGATTTGTTCACACCAAGCTGCTTGCCTATTGCAGATTCAGTCTTTCCAGCCTGGTGCAGGTCTACAATTTTGTTTCTGGTGTTCTTTGACAGCTCTTTGGTCTTCACCATAGTGTAGTTTGGAGTGTGACTGTTTGAGGTTGTGGACAGGTGTCTTTTATACTGATAACAAGTTCAAACAGGTGCCATTGATACAGGTAATGAGTGCAGGACAGAGGAGCCTCTTAAAGAAGAAGGTACAGGTCTGTGAGAGCAGAAATCTTGCTTGTTTGTAGGTGACCAAATACTTATTTTCCACCATAATTTGCAAATAAATTCTTTCCAGATCAGCCAATGTGATTGTCTGGATTTTTTTTTCCTTATTTTGTCTCTCATAGTTGAGGTCTACCTATGATGCCAATTACAGGCCTCTCTCATCTTTGTAAGTGGGAGAACTTGCACAATTGGTGGCTGACTAAATACTTTTTTGCCCCACTGTATATAGCGCCGTCAATTTTTACATATATATTGTACATTCACATCAGTCCCTAACCCTCAAGGGGTGTACAATCTAAGGTCCCTAACTCACATTCATACATACACATACTAGGGACAATGTAGACAGGAGCCAATTAACCTACCAGCATGTCTTTGGAATGTGGGAGGAAACCAGAGTACCTGGAGAAAACCCACACAGGCACAGGGAGAACATGCAAACTCCAGGCAGGTGGTGCCATGGTTGGGATTTGAGCCAACAACCCGAGTACTGCCAGGCAGAAGTACAAAAAAAGAGACACGAGACTTGTATATTGAGAATAATTCGGTAGCACTTATAGGCCGAGGGCCTTAACCTCTTGCCGTCCGCCTGCTGTTTATAAACGGCAGGGCGGTGGCAGTCCAAGGTCGGGTTGCCGTTCCTAAACGGCACCCGCCTTTTCTAGCTGTGCGCGCTCCCTAGGAGCGCGCACCACCGCGATCCGGTGTCCGCTGTGTCCTCCGGACACAGTGAAACACCGATCGTCGGACGGGACCTCTGTACGAGGTCCCGGTCATGTGATCACTGATTGGCGAATCAGTGATCACATGCAAAGTAGTAAACAAGATGTCACTTGTGACATCATTGCTTACTACGTGTGAAATCTGTGAATGATCACAGAGGTCACATGGTACAAGGCTATTCACAACAGCCTTGTACCATGTGACAAGCTGTGACCAATCACAGCTCACTCAGTATTTCTCAATGACTGCAAGAATGCAGACAGAGAGAAAGAGAAATGATTGCTTTTACATCCTATATGGGTGTAAAAGCAATCAGTGTAAAAAAAAAAAAAAAAAAAATCTTCATCACCCCCCACAAGTAGTACAGTGTCACCATGGTGACACTGTACTGCTAGGGTGACAGTATGTAAAAATAAAAAATAAAAATAAAAAATAATATAAAAAAAAATAAAATAAAAATGTAAAAAAAAATGTTTAAAAATTATAATGTTTGGTTATAAACTAATTTTGATTTTTTTTTTTTTACTAAAAAAATAACGGAATAAATTTTGGCCAAGGATTAGGATGAAATATTATTTATTTGCAAAATTTTATTAAAAAAAAACACTTTTTTTCAAAATTTTTGGACTTTTTCATTTACATAGTAAAAAAAATAAAAATCCCAGCGGTGAATAAATACCACCAAAATAAAGCTTTATCTGTCTCAAAAAAATGGTAAAAAATTCATATGGGTACAGTATTGCATGACCGCGCAATTGTCATTCAAAGTGTGATAGCGCTGAAAGCTGAAAATTGCCCTGGACAGGAAGGGGGTAAAAGTGTCCGGACAGGAAGTGGTTAACTACACATACGAAGGCCATGAAAGAACGGAGGGATGAGGGAAAGGAGGAGAACTGGGTGGAAAACCAGGGAAGGGGGATATTCAGAAGTAAAGGAGGTGGAGGGTCTACCTTGTTTCCAGAACCAGAGGATCTCATGAGTTACGGGCGAACATTTTGCCGTGCAAACTGGCCTGTCTGCGCACACCTTCACATTCTCAAAAGGAAAAGAAAAAAATGCACAAAGAAAAACAATAAGGGAAGAGAATATTTCTCAGAGGGCGATTGCTAGCCTCTGAGTTCACACCATACAGGTGTACCGGCACGTCTTGAGTAGGCCCGCCCATTCATTCCATTGGGCTGCACTACACGTGAGAAACGCGCAAAAGAAGTCCCTGCCCCTTTTTCAAAATCACGCAGCACCATACCCAGTACTTTGCAAAAAATGGGTGCGTTAGCAGATGTGTGTGGCTGCCAAAAACAATTAATGGCACCACCGTGTGTCTGCTAATGGGAAAACGTGTTTCCGGTCGATGGGAAAGCACAGGATTTTGGGCGGTTTCCTGACACATACACAAGGTGTGAACCTAGCCTAATTGATGCTGCTAGACAAGTTGCCATCAGTGCCGGATTAAACTCTATAGGGGCCCCTAGGCAGTTGAAACTTTGCGGGGCCCCCTTACAGTCTTCTGGAGGTTTCTTGTGCTCTAGTGGGATAACATTGAACTAAGTGGTGTGCGCGTCAGCCGCTAGACGGAGGTTCCCATCACTACTGGACATTACACAGAAGTACTGTAGGCTGCATCAAACATTTTTTTCAAAATGTTCTGTCTTTTTTCTTTATATGATGATAAAATAATAAAAAAAAACCCAGTGGTGATCAGGTACCACCAAAAGAAAGACAATGAACCAAAAAAAGTAAAGAGGGGAATTACTGTACCCTCAATATACAGGGGACTTTAAAGGCACCATACTAGTACATCACCACCAAAAGAAAGCTCTATTGATATCAATTTTATGCAGTTTCAGTGTTGCATGAGCGCGCAATTACCAGTTAAGGCAGCGCAGTGCCGAATATCAAAATATGGCCTGGTCATGAAGTGGGGGGGGGGGGGGTATCGTCCGGAGCTTAGTTAAAGTTTCATGTTAGGAAATGTTTGCATGTGTACAATGCATGGACAACATTTTAGGAAGGGTCTGTGTGCTGTACATGAACCCTGAAGCATTAGCCCTCATCATCATTTTTGAGGACTGCAGCATGCAGCCAGGGATGGATGACAACTCATGTGGGGGGGGGGGGGGTCAGACCCCCCTGAACCCCCCCTTATCTACGCCCTTGGCCCTCATGCACACGGGACGTTTTGACGTTTTTTTAGATTTTTTTTTTTTTTTGGTCAAAAAAAGTCAAAAAAAAGTCAAAAAACGCTGGTTTGCATGGTTTTACCGTGTGTTTTCCCACATTTTTAAGCCTTTTTCAGTGTTTAAAAACGTTTTCATAGCTAAAAAGCTCCTCTAGAAATCCACTAGTCCTGGGTTTTTTTCCAGCCAAAAAAACGTCCCAGCCAAAAAAAGTTGATTCCAGTCTATATACAGTCAGGTCCATAGATATTGGGACATCGACACAATTCTAACATTTTTGGCTCTATACACCACCACAATGGATTTGAAATGAAATGAACAAGATGTGCTTTAACTGCAGACTGTCAGCTTTAATTTGAGGGTATTTACATCCAAATCAGGTGAACGGTGTAGAAATTACAACAGTTTGCATATGTGCCTCCCACTTGTTAAGGGACCAAAAGTAATGGGACAGAATGATAATAATAAATCAAACTTTCACTTTTTAATACTTGGTTGCAAATCCTTTGCAGTCAATTACAGCCTGAAGTGTGGAACGCATAGACATCACCAGACGCTGGGTTTCATCCCTGGTGATGCTCTGCCAGGCCACTACTGCAACTGTCTTCAGTTCCTGCTTGTTCTTGGGGCATTTTCCCTTCAGTTTTGTCTTCAGCAAGTGAAATGCTCAATCGGATTCAGGTCAGGTGATTGACTTGGCCATTGCATAACATTCCACTTTTTTCCCTTAAAAAACTCTTTGGTTGCTTTTGCAGTCTGCTTTGGGTCATTGTCCATCTGCACTGTGAAGCGTCCAATGAGTTGTGAAGCATTTGGCTGAATATGAGCCGATAATATTCCCGAAACACTTCAGAATTCATCCGGCTGCTTTTGTCAGCAGTCACATCATCAATACATTCAAGAGAACCAGTTCCATTGGCAGCCATACATGCCCACGCCATGACACTACCACCACCATGCTTCACTGATGAGGTGGTATGCTTAGGATCATGAGCAGTTCCTTCTCCATACTCTTCTCTTCCCATCACTCTGGTACAAGTTGATGTCGGTCTCATCTGTCCATAGGATGTTGTTCCAGAACTGTGAAGGCTTTTTTAGATGTCGTTTGGCAAACTCTAATCTGGCCTTCCTGTTTTTGAGGCTCACCAATGGTTTCCATCTTGTGGTGAACCCTCTGTATTCCCTCTGGTGAAGTCTTCTCTTGATTGGTGACTTTGACACACATACACCTACCTCCTGGAGAGTGTTCTTGATCTGGCCAACTGTTGTGAAGGGTGTTTTCTTCACCAGGGAAAGAATTCTTCGGTCATCCACCACAGTTGTTTTCCGTGGTCTTCCGGGTCTTTTGGTGTTGCTGAGCTCACCGGTGCGTTCCTTCTTTTTAAGAATGTTCCAAACAGTTGTTTTGGCCACGCCTAATGTTTTTGCTATCTCTCTGATGGGTTTGTTTTGTTTTTTTTCAGCCTAATGATGGCTTCACTGATAGTGACAGCTTTTTGGATCTCATCTTGAGAGTTGACAGCAACAGATTCCAAATGCAAATAGCACACTTGAAATGAACTCTGGACCTTTTATCTGCTCATTGTAATTGGGATAATGAGGGAATAACACACACCTGGCCATGGAACAGCTGAGAAGCCAGTTGTCCCATTACTTTTGGTCCCTTAACAAGTGGGAGGCACATATGCAAACTGTTGTAATTCCTACACTGCTTCACCTGATTTGGATGTAAATACCCTCAAATTAAAGCTGTCAGTCTGCAGTTAAAGCAAATCTTGTTCCTTTCATTTCAAATCCATTGTGGTGGTGTATAGAGCCAAAAATGTTAGAATTGTGTTGATGTCCCAATATTTATGGACCTGACTGTATGTATGGACACCTAGGATAACATGCTGGGGGGTTTACTTGATGTGGAAAAAAACATCAAACGCCAAAAACAGCCGCTGTAAAAACGTCCCGTGTGCGTGAGGACCAGGGGCGGACTGACAACTCATGGGGCCCCCGGGCAATAGGGGATCATGGGGCCCCTGTGTCCTTGCCCAAACTCAAAAAAGCCTATGAAAAAGGTACCAGGGGCATCTCATGGAGCCCCCTACTGACCCCGGGCCCTCAGGCAGTGCCCGAGTTTGCAAATGGTGGGTCCGCCCCTGGCGAGGACTTACAGACATGCACTATTTCAATAAAGAAAATACAGAATGGTTCAAGAGTTCAAATGTTTTTTTTTGTCCTTGTATCCACAGGTAGTGATCATGAGGGACTACCACCATGAGAATGTTGTGGACATGTATAATAGTTATCTGGTTGGAGATGAACTGTGGGTGGTCATGGAGTTCTTGGAAGGAGGAGCCCTGACGGACATCGTCACCCACACCAGGTAGGCCGTGTGATGGTTTGGAAGAATTCATTGAAGTACGGGAATCGGCGTAGGATTTACTGGAAGTGCAGATAGCTTTGTGAAAAAAAAAAATTACATTTGTCATTTTCCCAGCTGGGGAACCCCCATTGTCACCGGGACAGCAAGTTTCGGTTCACGCTACTGCAACCTGCAGTGCAACTTTGGCAGGCGACTTCCTGGCAACTTGAGTACTACTTTGATGCGACTTTGAAGCTGGGTAATCTTCCTGTAATGTCGGATCCAAATCACATCAATATGGATGAGGATCCAACTCGAAGGCGACTTCCATTAAAGTCTATGGACACAAGTCGGATAGAAGTCGCTTGAAGTAGTACAGGAATCTTTTCTAAAGTCGGGGTGCTAATTAAGACGGCTCTCATTGACCAACATGGGATTTCACATGTCATGTGACTTGGGGGTCTCACAAGTCGGATCCCAAGTGTGAACCGGGCCTTAGTCAGGAGAATTTCAAAATGTTCACCAGAACAGGAAGTGAGGGGAAGTCTTCCATGGGGTCACCTGTTTGAGTAGTAACTGTCTAAGAATAGATTTCTCCTCACTAGAGAGATTTTCTCTCACTGTGTCTGGAGCAGGAAGTGAAGGAAAGTCTCCCCAATGGGAAGCAGACAACGAAGAGAAAAAACAAAAACCTGACGAGTTGTACCCATTCCATAGGCTGTCCAAAACTCATCTAGATGTTGAGTTGTCACCAGAACAGCAGTAAGGGGGAAATCTTCCAATGGGGGGAAGTACTCAGGTGACAACTGTCTAAGACGGTCCTTAAAATATTTTCTCTCACTTCCCATTTTGTCTTCAGGACAGGAAATGGAGAGAAATCTCTGCAAAGGGATGGAACTGGCAAAATAAACCAGACAAGGGTTTTAACCCTTTCAATACTCCGCCATTTCTCAGCCTTTTTTCAGTCGTAGCGCCCATTACAAATATGCAGATTCTGGGGGCACCCCAATCTAAAAATGTAAAACATGTAAATGTTACTTATCAATAGATACCTGACCCTGGAATGATTCACATAACCGCCCAGATGAAATGAACCACATTAGAACCCCCACTTCATATCAGAGGTCCCCCTATCACATCAGAGGCCCCCCTACCCCTTCATATCAGAGGTCCCCCTATCACATCAGAGGCCCCCCTACCCCTTCATATCAGAGGTCCCCCTATCACATCAGAGGCCCCTACCCCTTCATATCAGAGGTCTCCCTATCACATCAGAGGCCCCCCTGCCCCTTCATATCAGAGGTCTCCCTATCACATCAGAGGCCCCCCTACCCCTTCATATCAGAGGTCCCCCTATCACATCAGAGGCCCCCCTACCCCTTCATATCAGAGGTCCCCCTATCACATCAGAGGCCCCCCTACCCCTTCATATCAGAGGTCCCCCTATCACATCAGAGGCCCCCTACCCCCCTTCATATCAGAGGTCCCCCCCTATCACATCAGAGGCCCCCCTACCCCTTCATATCAGAGGTCCCCCTATCACATCGGAGGCCCCTCTTCCCCTTCATATTAGAGGTCCCCCTATCACATTAGAGGCCCCCCCCCTTCATATCAGAGGTCTCCCTATCACATCAGAGGACCCCTTCCCCTTCATATCAGAGGTCTCCCTATCACATCAGAGGCCCCCCTACCCCTTCATATCAGAGGTCCCCCTCTCACATCAGAGGCCCCCCTACCCCTTCATATCAGAGGTCCCCCTATCACATCAGAGGACCCCCTTCCCCTTCATATCAGAGGTCCCCCTATCACATCAGAGGCCCCTCTACCCCTTCATGTCAGAGGTCCCCCTATCACATCAGAGGCCTCCCTACCCCTTCATATCAGAGGTACCCCTATCACATCAGAGGCCTCCCTACCCCTTCAAATCAGAGGTCCCCCTATCACATCAGAGGCCCCCTACCCCTTCATATCAGAGGTCTCCCTATCACATCAGAGGCCCCCCTACCCCTTCATATCAGAGGTCCCCCTATCACATCAGAGGCCCCCTTCCCTTCATATCAGAGGTCTCCCTATCACATCAGAGGCCCCCTTCCCCTTCATATCAGAGGTCATCACATCAGAGGCCCCCTACCCCTTCATATCAGAGGTCCCCCTATCACATCAGAGGCCCCCCTACCCCTTCATATCAGAGGTCCCCCTATCACATCGGAGGCCCCTCTTCCCCTTCATATTAGAGGTCCCCCCTATCACATTAGAGACCCCCCTACCCCTTCATATCAGAGGTCTCCCTATCACATCAGAGGACCCCCCCCTTCATATCAGAGGGTCTCCCTATCACATCAGAGGCCCCCCTACCCCTTCATATCAGAGGTCCCCCTATCACATCAGAGGACCCCCTTCCCCAGAGGTCCCCCTATCACATCAGAGGGTCCCCCCTCTCACATCAGAGGCCCCCCTACCCCTTCATATCAGAGGTCCCCCTATCACATCAGAGGCCCCCCTACCCCTTCATCACCCCTATCAGAGGCCTCCCTACCCCTTCAAATCAGAGGTCTCCCTATCACATCAGAGGCCTCTGCCTCCTCATTGGCTTAAACAGCAAGTGGGAGCCATTGGCTCCTGCTTGTGTCAATCACAGCCAGTCAGCAAATGAGAAGAGAGAGGGGTAGGGCCAAGCCACAGCTCCCTGTGTGAATGAATACTCGGAGCAGCAGGTGCCCCCATAGCAACCTGCTTGCTATGGGGGCACCGGACAGAGAGGAGAGCCTGTGGGGGACCTGAGAAGAGGATGATCAGGGCTGCTCTTTGCAAAACTATTACACAGAGCAGGTAAGTATAACATGTTTTTTTTTAAAATAGGAACCTTTAGTATCACTTCAAAACAATTAGTAAAAAAAAGAATTAGTTGCAGGGTTAGCTTATGTGGCAGCCCCTCCCCCTCCCCCCCCCCCTCCCCTTCCCCTGAATTAATGCTCAAAGAAGGCTATAAAACATATCAATTAAAATTAAAAAAAAAAATTCTATATTTTTTTCAAATGTTTTATTGTTTTAAAGCTCACATTGAGCATTTGTTTGTGTTTGGAGCAGTGGGCTCAACTTTCTTCAGATGGTGGACCTAAAGTGCGGCCCTCGGAGTCACCAAAAGGCTACACATAAAATTCAGGGAATATTCATTATCAGAGACAGCAGACACACAACAGGATATAGTCAAAGACTATGGGCATGATACTGGAGGTGGTCAGAGACTGCACACATCATACAAGAGATGGTCAGAGACTGGGGACATGATACAAGAGGTGGTCAGAGACTGTGAAGATAATACAAGAGATGGTCAAAGACTACAGACATATTAGAAGAGATGGTCAGAGACTGCAGACAAGATTCAAGAGATGGTCAGATATTGCAAACATGATACAGGAGATGGTCAGAGACTATGGATATGATACAAGAGATGATCAGAAATGGCATACATGATACAAGAGATGGTCAGAGACTGCAAACATGATATACAAGACATGGTCAGAAACTGCAGACACAATACAGGAGATGGTCAGAGACTGCAGACATGGTACAAGAGATGGTCAGAGACTGGGGACATGATACAGGGGATGGTCAGAGACTGCGAAGATAATACAAGAGATGGTCAGACATTGTAGACATGATACAGGAGATGGTCAGAGACTGTAGACATGATACAGGAGATGGTCAGAAACTGCAGACATGATACCAGACATGGTCAGAAACTGTGGACATGATACAAGAGATTTTCAGAGACTGTGAAGATAATACAAGAGATGGTCAGAGACTGCAGACATGATACAAGAGATGGTCAGAGACTGCAGACATGATTCAAGAGATGGTCAGAGACTGCATAGATAATACAAGAGAAGGTCAGAGACTACAGACGTGGTACAGGAGATGGTCAGAGACTGCAGACATGATACAAGAGATGGTCAGAGACTGTAGACATGATACAGGAGATGGTCAGAGACTGCAGATATGATACAGGAGATGGTCAGAGACTGTAGACATACAGGAGATGTTTCTGAGACTGCAGACATGCTCCAGCAGACTGTCAGAGACTGTGAAGATACTATAGGAGATGTTGGAGAATAGGGACATGCTTCAGGAGACATATTACACACGAGTCCATTACAAATAACTACTCTAACAGTGCAATAAGGAAACACAGAATACTGTCTGCAGGGGCCCTGAGGGTCGCACAAAAAGTGCCAATGGGAGTCATGTGGCCCCTGGGCCGCAGGTTGGGCACCAGGGGCTTGCAGGCTGAAACATAGGTGGATCTTGCAGTTTCCTGCGAGATCTGATTTGTTACCCCTAGTCAAGGAGGGCCATAAAGATTCCACTCACTCATCAAGGTTAAGTCTCCATCACACACACCTTTAGGAATCGTTTTTAGAATCTGAAGTTCAGAGCAAAATGTAAATGATTTTCTGCGTTCTCCTGGCATTGATGAATTACGCCGATCTCGCAGGTTAACCAAAATCTTGATAGTAAAGTTCTGAAGGTAAAATATTCCAGAAGATAAAACAACGACTTTCTTTACTTCCGCACTTTGTAATGCTGACAGTTTTACTTTTCGTTCATCCAGCAGATTGAACCAAAAAAAAACCTGACACAATCGATGTGGCTGTAGGGGTCTCTTCCAGGGTTCCATTGTGTTCTGATGGGGAGAGAGTTCCCTCAGTCTACAGTTGGGGACCATAAGGCATCTGTTTACCCTTCATCATTGCACAGCTATTGGTACCCACTGCAATCTCAGGAACACTGTACAGTACAGGAGGGCGCACAATCCAGAACTCTCCTGAACATGGGAAATGGCCAGTAAATGGGACCCTATGAGAAGAGTCTACTGGTAGCCATACACTAGACCAGTGGTCTCCAAACTGTGGCCTGGGGGCTGGATGTGGCCCTTTGCTTGCTTTTACCTGGCCCTTGGGGCACTGTTTCATTCACTGACACCAACAAAGGGGCATGATTCCTTTCAATATTACAAACAATGGGGCATACTTTCTGCCAATGACACCAAGGATGGGGCACAATTCCTCCCAATGACACAAACAATGGGGCCCAATGACACCAGTGATGAGGCATAATACCTCCCAATAACACAAACGATGGGGCTCAATTCCTCCCAATGACACCAGTGATGGAGCACAATTCCGTCCAATGACACCAACAACGGGGCCCAATGACACCAATGTTGGGACACAATTCCTACTAATGATGGGGCACGATTCCTCCCAATAACACCAATGATGGGGAATAATACATCCCGATAACACCAGCGATGGGGCACAATTTTGGGGCACAATCCTCCCAATGACACCAGTGATGGAGCACAATTCCGCCCAATGACACCAACAATGGGGCCCAATGACACCAATGTTGGGACACAATTCCTACTAATGATGGAGCACGATTCCTCCCAATAACACCAATGATGGGGAATAATACATCCCGATAACACCAGCGATGGGGCACAATTCCTCCCAATGACACCAGTGATGGAGCACAATTCCGCCCAATGACACCAACAATGGGGCCCAATGACACCAATGTTGGGACACAATTCCTACTAATGATGGGGCACGATTCCTCCCAATAACACCAGCGATGGGGCACAATACCTCCCAATAACACCAGCGATGGGGCACAATTCCTCCCAATGACACCAGTGATGGAGCACAATTACGCCCAATGACACCAACAATGGGGCCCAATGACACCAATGTTGAGGCACAATTCCTACTAATGATGTGGCACGATTCCTCCCAATAACACCAACGATGGGGTACAATACCTCCCAATAACACCAACGATGGGGCACAATTCCTCCCATTGACACCAGTGATGGAGCACAATTACGCCCAATGACACCAACAATGGGGCCCAATGACACCAATGTTGAGGCACAATTCCTACTAATGATGTGGCACGATTCCTCCCAATAACACCAGCGATGGGGCACAATTCCTCCCATTGACACACAGTGATGGAGCACAGTTCCTCCCAATGACACCAACAATAGGGCCCAATGACACCAGTGTTGGGGCACAATTCTTACTAAGGATGGGGTACAGCTCCTCCCAGTGACAGTGATGGCATCAATGACATCAGTGATGGAGCACAATTCCTCCCAGTGACATCAACAGTGGGGCCCAATGACACCAGTGACACCAATGTTGGGGCACAATTTCTACTAATGATGGGCCATGATTCCCCCCAATGATACCAATGATGGGGCATTGCTTACTCCAGCTGATGCTGGGACATTTTCTACACTCCAATGGCCACAGTCTGGCCCCCCCTAAAGTCTGAAGGACAGTAAACTGGCCTTTTGTTTAGAAAGTTGGAGACCCCTGCACTAGATGAAAAATCGTTCAAAAAACCCATCATTTAGACAGTTCATTCATTTTTTGTCCTGTTAATGGGCACAAATAAAATAGTTTTTGACATTTTTGAGCCAAAAAATCCAGTGTCAGAATGCACACCGCAGTCCCGCTACAAGTCGCTGATCACCACCATTACTAGTAAAAAAAAACAAAACTCCAGTATACATACCGCCATTTGTAGATGATATAACTTTCACATCAAACAATTCATTTACACGTATTGGGATTTATTTCAGCAAAGACATGGAGCAGAATACATTTTGGCTGAAATTTATGACAAAATTAGTTTTTTTACTGGACATGTTTAATAGCAAAAAGTCAAAAATATTGTTTTTTTCTCAAATTGTCAGGTTTTTTTTTTTGCTTATAGCGGAAAAAATAAAAATCACACAGGAAATCAAATACCACCGAAAGAAAGCTCTATTTGTGGAAAAAAAGTATATACATTTAATTTGGGTGCAGTGTTGCATGACCGCGCAATTGTCAGTTAAATTAATGCAGCGCCGTATCTCAAAAACTGGCATATCAGGAAGGGGGGAAATCCTCTGGAGGGCGAGGGGTTAATAATGATGATGATGATTGTTATTGGTTGCAGTATACAATAGTTCAGTTGTTTGTAAACAATGTATCAATATGTCATCTTATTTTACAGGATGAATGAGGAGCAGATAGCCACTGTGTGTTTCTCCGTTCTGAAAGCATTGTCATATCTGCATAATCAGGGAGTCATTCACAGGGATATCAAAAGTGACTCGATCCTGCTGACCAGCGACGGAAGAGTAAGTGTTTCCACATACCGATTCCACGTAGATTGTTGTATACAGGGGCGGACTGACCATTTGGAAACTCGGGGACTGCCCGAGGGCCGGGGTCAGTAGGGGGCCCCATGAGATGCCCCTGGTACCTTTTTCATAGGCTTTTTTGAGTTTGGGCAAGGACAAAGGGGCCCCATGATCCCCTATTGCCCGGGGGCCCCATGAGTTGTCAGTCCGCCCCTGGTTGTATGTATATTACCCTTCTATTTGAGGGTCAACCCATTCATAGGAGTTTTTTTTTTAGCCTTCCTCTGGATTAACTGTGGGGTATGGGATTCTGTCTAGACGTGTGCAGTTCATTTCCTTCCGAATCAAAATTCGAACAAAATATTCATTATTCAGAGATTCGGATGTGCAACGAATTTCCACAATTACAGTAGTAACGAATTTTAAAACGAATCTAAAATAATGAAATGAAATTTGAATTGAATTTGAATTGAATTCAAAAATGAAATTGAATTTGAAAACAAATTTGAAATGTAAACATATTGCTGTCTGTTGCTGATTTCTTTCAGAGATTGTGTGGATTCGAATGTAGCCGAATACACACAGAGATCAGCCAGCAGCACAAGGGACACTCCTCAATTAATGTATATACGGTCTCCAGGGGCGGACTGACTATTTGGAAACTCGGGCACTGCCCGAGGGCCGGGGGTCAGTAGGGGGCCCCATGAGATGCCCCTGGTACCTTTTTCATAGGCTTTTTTGAGTTTGGGCAAGGACACAGGGGCCCCATGATCCCCTATTGCCCGGGGGCCCCATGAGTTGTCAGTCCGCCCCTGGTTGTATGTATATTACCCTTCTATTTGAGGGTCAACCCATTCATAGGAGTTTTTTTTTTAGCCTTCCTCTGGATTAACTGTGGGGTATGGTATTCTGTCTAGACGTGTGCAGTTTGTTTCCTTCCGAATCAAAATTCGGACAAAATATTCATTATTCAGAGATTTGGATGTGCAACGAATTTCCAAAATTACAGTAGTAACAAATTTTAAAACAAATCTAAAATAATGAAATTAAATTCAAATTGAATTTGAATTGAATTCAAAAATGAAATTGAATTTGAAAACAAATTTGAAATGTAAACATATTGCTGTCTGTTGCTGATTTCTTTCAGAGATTGTGTGGATTCGAATGTAGCCGAATACACACAGAGATCAGCCAGCAGCACAAGGGACACTCCTCAATTAATGTATATATGGTCTCCAGGGGTGGACTGACCATTTGGAAACTCGGGCATTGCCCGAGGGCCCGGGGTCAGTAGGGGCCCCATGAGATGCCCCTGGTACCTTTTTCATAGGCTTTTTTGAGTTTGGGCAAGGACACAGGGGCCCCATGATCCCCTATTGCCCGGGGGCCCCATGAGCTGTCAGTCCGTCCCTGACGGTCTCTTGTGCTGATTAAAAAAAAAACAAAAAACCTAGGCTTAAGAAGGCCAATTTCCATTCATAAGACCATATGGGGCATTGTAGGGGTCCTTAGAATATTACAGTTTAAAAATAATTCCGTAACATTTCCTGCAAACTTTTCAGACATTTCATCATTCCAACCCCCTACCTGTTCTTTGCATGTTTCCTTCTATCTATTGCGCTAATGTATACTAGCGTATAATGAGAAGTTGGATTATTCCCAAAAGGTTTGGTGAACAGTTTGTGAAACCTTTTCTACCAGCCAGCTTGATTCCACTTGATCCTCCATAATAAAAAAATAAAAAAAATAATAATAAAAGAAATGAAAAAAAAAAATAATACAAAAAAAAATGTATAATATGTATTATTTATAATAATAATAATAATAATGATAATAATAAGAAGAAATTATATTATTTTTAATAATAATAATAATAATAATAATAATAAATAAAATAATACAATTTAATAATATGAATAAATCTGATCAACGTTTTTGGGGGGAATTATTTCAAATACTCCATGTGTTCATACACCATGAATTTGTTATGCCAGACAGTACCAGATTTTTATCTGACAGTGTTTTTTTTATATTTCTAGATAAAGCTCTCTGATTTTGGATTTTGTGCACAAGTTTCTAAAGAGGTTCCTAAAAGAAAATCCCTTGTTGGGACTCCTTACTGGATGGCTCCAGAGGTCATCTCCAGACTGCCATATGGAACAGAGGTTAGCCTAAAAATATTTAGTAATGCTATGCTAGGGAACTAGTTATGTAATGACATATAATAATGTAATGTTAATAGTAACAATATAATGTCATTTTTAGATTATTATTACAGTATATATAGTGACAGTGCAAGGCCCTGCCACTGCGAAAATCTAGGAGAAAATGACACAGGATTCCCATTAAGTCCTAAGGCAAGGTTCCAGACTATCGTTTCTGAGCGAGAAAGCCGTGTTTTTGGCTTTCTTTCAATTCTGTAAACCTGGATTGGGGCCTGTGCTTGAAGGGATGTTTGTAGCCTGGCTGGGTACACAGGTGTGCAGGGTCGTTATATACTCAAGCATGAGAATAGCACAGGACTCCCAGTGTGGAGACAAGAGGTCTCAGTCAGGAGTCAGAGATGCCCCAGTCAGGAGACAGGAGGTCTCCACCAGGGGTTAGAGGTGCCCCAGCCTGGAGACAGGAGGTCTCAGCCAGAGGTACCCCAGTCAGGAGACAGAAGGTCTCAACTGGGGGGTCAGAGGTGCCCCAGACAGACGGGAGGTCTCAACCAGAGGTCAGAGGTGCCCCAGTCAGGAGACAGGAGGTCTCAACCAGGTCAGAGGTGCTCCAGCCAGGAGTCAAGAGAAGGAGGTCTCAACCAGGGGTTAGAGGTGCCCCAGCCACGAGGTCTCAACCATGGGTCAGAGGTGCCCCATCCAGGAGACAGATGGTCTCAACTGGGGGTCAGAGGTGTCCCAGCCAGGAGTCAAGAGACAGGAGGTCTCCACCAGGGGTTAGAGGTGCCCCAGCCAGGAGGTCTCCACCAGGGGTTAGAGGTGCCCCAGCCAGGAGACAGGAGGTCTCAACCAGAGGCCAGAGGTACCCCAGTCAGGAGACAGGGGGTCTCAACTGTGGGTCAGAGGTGCCCCAGCTTGGAGACAGGAGGTCTCCACCAGGGGTCAGAGGTGCCCCAGCCAGGAGTCAAGAGACAGGAGGTCTCCACCAGGGGTTAGAGGTGCTGCAGCCAGGAGACTGGAAGTCTCAACAAAGGGTCAGAGCAGCCCGGGAGTGTTCAGGGAGAGCGCAGAGTGCATGCTCTCAGCGTTACATAGTTTACATATTGGTTTGCATATATGCGGCCTTTTGGTACTAAGGCCCAGCCGCCAAGAGGCCGCTTATATGCATATGGCAAGTGGCAAGAGGTTAATGGAACAATATATCAAGAGTTACAGTAATGTGGTGTGGGTGATGGAGAAAATGTAATGCCCTAAGCCATATCTTCTATTTGCCTTGACATTGAGAATGATTGTGCCTGACCCCGGAAATGCATTGTCTGATAGACCCTCTATGGCTTGGGGCTCTCAGTGATGAAAACCTGATAGCGATTCTAATGCCCACCACAGTTTCCAAAAAAGTTTTGAGTAGAGGTAAAGTTTAGAGCTAGGTTCACACTCTTGGGACCCGATTACGATCTGACTATCAGTACGATTATGTGATGCAACTTGGATGCAGCTTTGATAAGGTTTGGATATTCTATGGGTCCAAAATGCTGCTTGAATCACACCAAAGTGGTATAGGAACCTTGTCCACAATGGCATTGATGTGAACAGGTACCATTGAAAACAATGTGATTTCCATTGTCATGCGATTCTGTGCTTCTCAAGTTGCACCTGAAATCGCACTAGTGTGAACGGAGCCTAAAATGTAGTTTTCAATGCTGGTTTGGTCTTCATCTAGATCGGAGCTGCCATGGAAATGTCTTGTAAAGTCTACCGTAAATGACTTTAGCATCAATCTTAGGAGGCCTCTAGGCGGATTACTTCATTGAAGGTCTTTCTTTTCATCTCCAGGTGGATATTTGGTCTCTTGGAATTATGGTGATAGAAATGATTGACGGAGAACCCCCATATTTTAATGAACCGCCATTGCAGGCAATGCGTCGGATACGAGATAATTTACCACCACGAGTTAAAGATGTTCATCAGGTAAAGCCATTAACAGAGTCCTCTTCATTTTCACCAAACCAAGCCTGTATTTTTTATGGTGTAAGCAGTATAGTGGACTTATAATGAAAACAATATTTAACCGTCTTGCTGAGATACATAAATAAAGAGCAATGGCAACGTCATCTGGTCATGTGATCTCTAATGCAAGGAAGAAATCAAATTGGTTCAATCTCCCCTTCAGCAAGGACCATGTAGCCAAGGAACAAAGATTTTGACCATGCAGCAAATGCTAACGAGGACATTTTCACTAGATTTCCCCTTATTTTGCTTTTTCCATACCAAAAACATCAAGAAAACATCTCAAAATTAACATTTGATTCTTGACCCTTTTGCTGCCAGGACCGTACGCAATACGGACCTGACAGCAGGGGGTTTTATGCAGAGATGTCCCTAGGGTTGGTGTCACCCGGTGCGATAACACTTGGTGACACCCCCTCCGACGATCCCCGCAGAATGGATCAGATCTGCGGATTCAGCATAATGGATTGGACTCCGATCCATTATGCTTAATCCGCAGATCCGGTCCATCCTGTGGGGATCGTCGGCCTGCTTGACAACTTACCTTTTCGTGGAGCGGTTCCGGTGTCACCCTGTATAGGTTGCATGCCAACGATCCCCGCAGGATGGATCGGATCTGCGGACTGGAGAGGATAATGGACCGGACTCTGATCCATTATGCTCAATCCGCAGATCCGATCCATCCTGCGGGGATCGTCGGCTTGCTTTACAACTTACCTTTTCGTGGAGCGGGTCCGGTGTCACCCTGTATAGGTTGCATGCCAACGATCCCCGCAGGATGGATCGGATCTGCGGACTGGAGAGGATAATGGACCGGACTCTGATCCATTATGCTCAATCCGCAGATCCGATCCATCCTGTGGGGATCGTCGGCTTGCTTTACAACTTACCTTTTCTTGCAGCGGGTCCGGTGTCACCCCGTATAGATTGCATGCCGACAATCCCCGCAGGATGGATCAGATCTGCGGATTGAGCATAATGATTTGGAGTGAGATCTTTTATCCTCTCCAGTCCGCAGATCCGATCCATCCTGTGGGGATCTTTGGCATGCTACCTATACGGGGTGACACCGGACCCGCTCCACGAAAAGGTAAGTTGTAAAGCAAGCTGACGATCCCCGCAAGATGGATCAGATCTGCGGATTGAGCATAATGGATCGGAGTCCGATCTATTATCCTCTCCAGTCCGCAGATCCGATCCATCCTGTGGGGATCGTCGGCATGCAACCTATATGGGGTGACACTGGACCTGCTCCACAAAAGGTAAGTTGTAAAGCAAGCTGACGATCCCCGCAGGATGGACCGGATCTGCGGATTGGGGAGCATAATGGATCGGAGTCCAATCCATTATGCTCAATCCGCAGATCTGATCCATCTTGGGGGGATCGTCGGCTTGCTTTACAACTTACCTTTCGGTGGAGCTGGTCCAGTGTCACCCCATGCGGTTGGTGTCACCTGGTGCGGCCCGCACCTGCCTAGGGACGCCATTGGTTTTATGACAATCCAGTAACTGAGCTCCGCTTGCCCATCTGCGGGCCCAGGGAGAGCCATGGTGGGTGCCGATGGGTGGAGGGGAGAGTGGACAACTCTGCGTGACCTGGAAGGCGACGTCCATGATGCCACTTCCAGGTCACGACTGTCACTTTCCTGGCTAGAATAGCTGGCGAAAGATGGATTGCAATGCGGTTTGCATTGCATTACATCTAATGGATCACAGAGGAGACATTGGGGATCTTTTTGACTTTTGAAACGTCTCCTATAGAAAATATAGGGTACTGAAGTTTGTCACCATTCCATAGGCGCACACAAATTTATGGTTTGGCATGTTGGGTAACTATTTACTTGGCACAAACTCATCTTTTATATTTTACCTAAAATTTGGGTAATTTATTGCGTTTGTTTGCCCCAAAATTCACTTTTACTGAAATTTTGCGGTTCCTAAACCTTTGCAATAATATCGTGTGACATAAAAAATTGGAACTACTACTATTTTATTCTCTAGGGCACGAGTGCCAGACTGGCGGCCCTCCAGCTGTTGCCAAACTACAAGTCCCAGGAGGCATTGCAAGACTGACAGTTACAAGCATGACTCCCAAAGGCAGAGGCATGATGGGACTTGTAGTTTCAGAACAGAGCACCCCTGCTCTAGGGTGACCGCTTTCAGAAAATAGATCATATTTGGGGGTTTTATGTAATCTTCAGACCTAAAATGATTTTTTACACGTGTGCAAAAAAATGCAAAAACAGCTCTGGCAGTGAAAGGGTTAAAGCTTATCTAACCCCACCCTTTTTTTGTGTTAGTTTTGGAAGGGTTTTAATGCTATCTGGGGTTCCATGAAAGATATTTTTTTTCACTTTGTGTTTTGGAGACGTTTTATAGGAAAATATCCAACAGGGAAATGCACAACAATATAAAGATGAAAAGATAATGGTGGTTCTAGCCTTCCCCTGCTTAACCCCTTGACACCGACCGTAGGCAAATATGCGACCTCTCGGCGTCTGGGCCTTGATGTCCAGCGGCCGTATATTTGTGTATCATTTTAAAACACATATATATTCCTTCCACCGATACCAACAATGGGGTAGTATTCCTTCCATTGACACCAATAATGGGGCAGTATTCCTTCCACCGATACCAACAATGGGGTAGTATTCCTTCCATTGACACCAATAATGGGGCAGTATTCCTTCCACCGATACCAACAATGGGGTAGTATTCCTTCCACTCACACCAACAATGGGGCACTATTCTCTCCACCGATACCAACAATGGGGCAGTATTCCTTCCACTGATACCAACAATGGGGCACTATTCTCTCCACCGATACCAACAATGGGGCACTATTTTCCCACTGACACCAAAAATTTCAACATTCAACATTAGCAGGGGAGCAAATAATGCTATAATATAAATATTTCCTTCACTGAATATCCTGAGTAAGGAGTAATCTCATATAATCAAGTCTACTTGCTGCATCACAGGTGTCTTAGCCAAAAGCAATATTGATCATGTCCATCTCCATAGGTCTGCTCCAACTACTAAGGTTAAATAGAGAAAAGGTCTTCTTCTTCCTGTGGTGGATGGTCCATGTAGTGACCTTGACACTGTTCTATATATCATTCACCTGTGAGCCTTAGGCAGCTTGAGAACAACTCCAGGAGGCATGTTGATCATATCCATCTCCATAGGTCTGCTCCAACCACTAAGGTTAAATATAGCCGGCACAAGGTCCTCTTATTCTCATGGTGGATGGTCCTCAGTGCAGAGAATGGTGCCACGTAGTGACCTTGGCACTGTTCTATAAATCATTCACCTATATATTCAGCCCTGCTTGAGAACTCCCCTCCAGGAGGCATGTTGATCATGTCCATGTCCATAGGTCTGCTCCACCTGCTAATATTAGATATAGTGGGCAAAAGGTGCTCTCCTTTCCGTGATGGATGATCCTCAGTACATAGAATGGTGCCACGTAGTGACCTTGACACCTTTCTATACATTATTCACCTGTGAGCCTCAGGCGGCTTGAGAACACACCTCTGGGAGGCATGTTGATCATGTTCATGTCCATAGGTCTTCTCCAACTGCTAATATTAAATATAGTGGGCAAAAGGTGCTCTTCTTCCCATGATGGATGGTCCTCAGTGCAGAGAATGGTGCTACATAGTGACCTTGCCACTGTTCTATACATCATTCACCTGTGAGCCTTAGGCGGCTTGAGAACACACCTCCAGGAGGCATGTTGATCATATCCATCTCCATAGGTCTGCTCCAACTACTAAGGTTAAATATAGCCGGCACAAGGTCCTCTTATTCTCATGGTGGTTGGTCCTCAGTACATAAAATGGTGCCACGTAGTTTTCTATACATCATTCACCTGTGAGCCTCAGGCGGCTTGAGAACACACCTCCAGGAGGCATGTTGATCATGTCCATTTCCATAGGTCTGCTCCAACTGCTAAGGTTAAATATAGAAGGCAAAAGGTCCTCTTATTCTTGTGGTGGATGTTCCTCAGTACATAGAATGGTGCAACGTAGTGACCTTGGCACTTTTCTATAAATCATTCACCTATAAATCCAGCCCTGCTTGAGAACACACCTCCAGGAGGCATGTTGATCATGTCCATTTCCATAGGTCTGCCCTCCAACTGCTAAGGTTAAGTATAGTAGGCTAAAGGTCGTCTTCTTCCCGTGATGGATGGTCCTCAGTGCAGAGAATGGTGCCACGTAGTGACCTTGGCACTGTTCTATATATCATTCATCTGTGAGTCTAGGACGGCTTGAGAACACACCTCCAGGAGGCATGTTGATCATATCCATCTCCATAGGTCTGCTCCAACTACTAAGGTTAAATATAGCCAGCACAAGGTCCTCTTATTCTCATGGTGGATGGTCCTCAGTACATAAAATGGTGCCACGTAGTTTTCTATACATCATTCACCTGTGAGCCTCAGGCGGCTTGAGAACACCTCCAGGAGGCATGTTGATCATATCCATCTCCATAGGTCTGCTCCAACTACTAAGGTTAAATATAGTGGGCACAAGGTCCTCTTATTCTTGTGATGGATGGTCCTCAGGGCAGAGAATGGTGCCACGTAGTGAGCTTAGCACTTTTCTATACTGTAAATCATTCACCTATAAATCCAGCCCAGCTTGAGAACACACCTCCAGGAGGCATGTTGATCATGTCCATAGGTCTGTCCAACCACTAATATTAAATATAGTGGGCAAAAGGTGCTCTTCTTCCCGTGATGGATGGTCCTCAGTGCAGAGAATGGTGCCACGTTGTGACCTTAGCACTGTTCTATACATTATTCACCTGTGAACCTCAGGTGGATTGAGAACACACCTCCAGGAGGCTTGTTGATCATATCCATCTCCATAGGTCTGCTCCAACTACTAAGGTTAAATATAGTGGGCACAAGGTCCTCTTATTCTTGTGATGGATGGACCTCAGGGCAGAGAATGGTGCCACGTAGTGACCTTGGCACTGTTCTATAAATCATTCACCTATAAATTCAGCCCAGCTTGAGAACTCATCTCCAGGAGGCACGTTGATCATGTCCATAGGTCTGTCCAACCACTAATATTAAATATAGTGGGCAAAAGGTGCTCTTCTTCACGTGATGGATGGTCCTCAGTGCAGAGAATGGTGCCACGTAGTGACCTTGGCACTGTTCTATATATCATTCACCTGTGAGTCTCGGACGGCTTGAGAACACCTCCAGGAGGCTTGTTGATCATATCCATCTCCATAGGTCTGCTCCAACTACTAAGGATAAATATAGCCGGCACAAGGTCCTCTTATTCTCATGGTGGATGGTCCTCAGGTGAATGATGTATAGAAAACTACGTGGCACCATTTTATGTACTGAGGACCATCCACCATGAGAATAAGAGGACCTTGTGCCGGCTATATTTATCCTTAGTAGTTGGAGCAGACCTATGGAGATGGATATGATCAACATGCCTCCTGGAGGTGTTCTCAAGCCGCCTGAGGCTCACAGGTGAATGATGTATAGAAAACTACGTGGCACCATTTTATGTACTGTGAGCCTCAGGCGGCTTGAGAACACACCTCCAGGAGGCATGTTGATCATGTCCATCTCCATAGGTCTGCTCCAACTGCTAAGTAGGCACAAGGTCCTCTTATTCTTGTGATGGATGGTCCTCAGTGCAGAGAATGGTGCCACATAGTGACCTTTGCAGTTTTCTATAAATCATTCACCTATAAATCCAGCCCAGCTTGAGAACACACCTCCAGGAGGCACGTTGATCACGTCTGTCTACCTAGAAATGTTAAATATAGCAATTAAAAGTTATAGTTCCTCATGTTTATTCCCTTCCTACTAGAACCCAAAGTCATTCTCGAATTTGTGTTGTCAGGTTTCTTCAGTTTTGCGTGGATTCCTAGACTTGATGCTGGTGAGGGAGCCTTCCCAAAGAGCAACAGCACAAGACCTATTGAGACATCCATTCATGAACCTCTCAGGACCCCAGTCATGTATCATCCCGCTAATGAGGCAATACCGGCACCACTGAGCTTATCAAAGCCAACGTGAACGGAGGAACCGAGCTAAACAAGATGGGGGAATCAGCCACAAAACAACTTCACACAACACAAGAAATGCAAAAATTAAAAGCAGCTACTTCTCAAAACTGCCTATATTTCTGTACAATGACTACAAGATGAAACGCTGGGGTGTGCTGGAATGGAAACCTCACTTTTCACTCTGCTTTTTCCTCTTGGTTTCTTTGGTTTTTTTTTTTTTTTTTCTTTTTCTTTTTTTTTTTAATTGATCAAAAAAATGCAGATTTTTACAAAGGTTCTTTTGAAGTGAAATTTAGATATTAGTCCAGACATCTCCAACTCTTATTTGAATGAAAGGGAAATTTAATGGCATTTATTTAAAAGAAAAAAAAAAAAAAGTAATATCCTTCTTTGAGGTAAAATGCACTTTTTTTCAGAGGTAGGAGCGTACCGTATTTTGAAACGACTTTGTAATTTTCTGTATAATACTTTTGATAATTTGCAGTTTTTTGATGTTATGTAAACATTGTGCCAGTTCAAAAACCAGGTGTAATTTACCAAACATTTTCCAAAAAAAAATAAAAAAAAATTCCTACTTTTATATAATCCTTTTGGAGACACCCACATCTCTGCGTCAGTGTTAACTGTCTATTTTGCGTACACCCTAATCATGGCATATCTTAAAAGCTTTGAAAACCAGAGTGGTTTGCAGACTTTTTCTAAGGCCCTCCCATCACCATTTGTTAGTGTTACAAAAAAAAAAAAAAATATTATAATTAATATTAATTAATAATAATTATAATTAATGAAAAGAATAATTAATTAAATACAACATCTAGAGTGGTTTGCAGACTTTTTCTAAGGCCCTCCCATCACCATTTGTTAGTGTCACAAAAAAAAAATATTATTATTATAATTAATAGTAATAATAATTATAATAACAAATTAAACACAACATCTAGAGTGGTTTGCAGACTTTTTCTAAGGCCATCCCATCACCATTTGTTAGTGTTACAAAAAAAATATTATAATTAATATTAATTAATAATAATTATAATAAATAATAAAAAGAACAATAAATTAAATACAACATCTATAGTGGTTTGCAGACTTTTTCTAAGGCCCTCCCATCACCATTTGTTAGTGTTACAAAAAAAAAATATTATAATTAATATTAATTAATAATTATAATAACTAATGAAAAGAATAATAAATTAAATACAACATCTAGAGTGGTTTGCAGACTTTTTCTAAGGCCCTCTCATCACCATTTATTAGTGTCACAAATAATAATAATAATTATTGTTAGTACAATTAATATTAATTAATAATATTTATAATAACTAATGAAAAGAATAATAAATTAAATACAACATCTAGTGTGGTTTGCAGACTTTTTCTAAGGCCCTCCCATCACCATTTGTTAGTGTCACAAAAAAATAATTATTATTGTTATAATTAATATTAATTAATAATAATTATAATAACTAATGAAAATAATAACAAATGAAATACAACATCTAGAGTGGTCTGCAGACTTTTTCTAAGGCCCTCTCTTCACCATTTGTTAGTGCTACAAAAAAAATTATTATTATTATTATAATTAATATTAATTAATAATAATAATTATAATAACTAATGAAACGAATAACAAATTAAACACAACATCTAGAGTGGTTTGCAGACTTTTTCTAAGGCCCTCCCATCACCATTTGTTAGTGTTACAAAAAAAAATATTATTAATATTAATTAATAATAATTATAATAACTAATGAAAAGAATAATAAATTAAATACAACATCTAGAGTGGTTTGCAGACTTTTTCTAAGGCCCTCTCATCACCATTTATTAGTGTCACAAATAATAATAATAATTATTATTATTATTACAATTAATATTAATTAATAATAATTATAATAACAAATGAAAAGAATAATAAATTAAATACAACATCTAGAGTGGTTTGCATACTTTTTCTAAGGCCCTCCCATCACCATTTGTTAGTGTCACAAAAAAAAATTATTATTATTATTATAATTAATATTAATAATAATAATTATAATAACTAATGAAAATAATAACAAATGAAAAACAACATCTAGAGTGGTCTGCAGACTTTTTCTAAGGCCCTCTCATCACCATTTGTTAGTGCTACAAAAAAAATTATTATTATTATTATTATAATTAATATTAATTAATAATAAATAATTATAATAACTAATGAAACGAATAACAAATTAAACACAACATCTAGAGTGGTTTGCAGACTTTTTCTAAGGCCCTCTCATCACCATTTGTTAGTGCTACAAAAAAAAAATTATTATTATTATAATTATTATTAATTACTAATGAAAAATATAAAAAGAGAATTAAACACAACAGCTAGAGTAGTTTGCAGACTTGTTCTAAGGCCCTCTTATCACCATTCCTTAGTGTTGCAAAAAAGATTATTACGATTAATAATTCATAATTATAATAAATAATTAAAAAATATAACAAGAAGAGAATTAAACACAACTTCTAGTGCAAATTAGTTACTACAACATCAAAATTTCCTTTATAAAAATGGCCCACAATATTTAAGACACAGTATTTAATTATGTACAATATTCATTGCTGTCTGTATTTATAGGTCCCACATGTAATAGACTTTCAGAATAATATTGGGGTGAAGTTGCTTAGCCATTTAAAACTTTCTATTTTACATTTTTGCTGTTGTTTATATTTTGGTTGTTTTTTTATTTTTTGAGTTGTGATTTTTTTTTTTTTTTTTTTACCAAGTTTGTGAATTGACCTTTAATTTTTTTGTGGGTTTCATGCGTTCTTTTTTAATTTATTTTGAAATTAATATATTTATTTTGCTATTTATGTTATCATTTTAAATCCCAGTGATTTAATATCCCAGAAGACTGCAGCTGTCAACCTTCTACGCGGGTATTTTTCTAAATTCTCATCATATTTTCATTGTGATGATGTCGTAGGGTGTGTTTGACTCAATACACTTGTGCTGCTGTCTATATTTTTTTATGTCAAAAAAAAAAAAAACAATGGATGACTACAAAATTTGTGTTGCTTGTTGAATGAAATTTGCATGTCAACGCTAGGCCTAAATAGATTTGTGTTTTGCAGCCACTTGATTCATATTTATTTAATATGCAAAATAAACTTTATTTATTAAAGAGCTCGTCTGATTTTATTAGGATTTTATCCACTGAAATGGCCAAATAGTGCGACGTAAATTACTTTTTACATAAAAACTTGGAAACATAATGGAAACCAGTGACAGATCCTTGTATTTGAAGAACGCCCCACCCTGCCCACATGGAAGAAAAATATATTTGAAATATATTTAAAAAAATATTCTTCTCAAATATATTGACATATATTTGAAATGCTACAATTTTGGCCGTATACAATATATTTCAATATATATATATACAGTGGCATCCCAAGGAAGGTGTGGGGGGTGTGGCCCGCACCGGGTGACACCGACCGCACAGGGTGACACCGGACCCGCTCCACGAAAAGGTAAGTTGTAAAGCAAGCTAACGATCCCCCCGCAGGATGGATCCGAACACTTGGTGACACCCCCTCCAACAATCCCCGCAGAATGGATCAGATCTGCGGATTGAGCATAATGTATCAGACTCCGATCCATTATGCTCAATCCGCAGATCCGATCCATCCTGCGGGGATCGTCGTCTTTCTTTACAACTTACCTTTTCGTGGAGCGGGTCCGGTGTCACCCCGTATATGTTGCATGCTGACAATCCCCGCAGGATGGTTCGGATCTGCGGATTGAGCATAATGGATCGGTGTCTGATTCATTATGCTCAATCCGCAAGGCCGATCCATTCTGCAGGGATCGTCGGAGGGGGTGTCACCAAGTGTTACCACACCGGGTGACACCAACCCTAGGGACACCCCTGTGTGTGTGTATATATATATATATATATATATACCGTATGTTGAAATGCATTGTTATTACAGAATATATGAAAAATATTTTTAAAATACATTTCAAATATACTGTAAGTCTTTAAAAATACCAATTTTACTTTTTGTGGAATGCATTGACAAATATATGTAAGAATATGTTAAAATTACTTTTTTATATGTTAGAAAAAAAACTGAAAAATGTATTTAAAAACATTTATTTAAAAAAATATATTTTTAAAAATATATTTTTTAAAAACATTCTTCATAATTTTTTTTAACATCTAAAAAAGTCATTTTAACATATATTTTTACATATATTTGTAAATGCTTTCCACAAAATGTAGATTTGTATTTTTAAAGACATACAGTATATTTGAAATGTATTTTTAAAAATATTTTTCATATATTTTGAAATAAAAACACATTTCAACATACAGTATATAATTATATATATATATATATATATATATATATATATATGAATATGGCCAAAATTGTTGCATTCAAGTATATTACAAATATATTTTTTCCCTATGTGAAGCTTGTGGGTTTAGTAACAATTTAAAGTTTAACTTTTTTTGTTTAATTTAAACAAATATATGACAATATATTTGGGAAGAAATTTTTAAAAATATATTTCAAATACATTTTTCTTCCATATGGGAAGTTTGTGTTTTTAGTAACAGTTTAAAGTTTTAAAAAAATGTAAATTTAAAAAAATATATGTCAATATATTTGGGAAGAATATTTTTAAAATATATTTCAAATATATTGTTCTTCCATATGGGTGGGCCTGACTGTAGTATGAGTGTCAATGGCCTCAGACAGCTCTCCTCCACAGACCATGCCCCACTGACGCATTTCACCCTCCCCTCCGGGGCTTAGTCATAGAGGTAAGACAAGCCCAGTGGGCAGGAGGACGAAACGCGTAACGCGGAGTGGTCTATGGAAGAGAGCTGTCTGTGGCTGTCCCTGATTGACACACATACTCCAGTTGGGCCAGGAGAGCGGCGTTCTTCAAATACAGAAATTTTAACTACGCTAAAATGGGTTCACTGGCAGAAAAAAAAGT